ATGTACTCTGTGGTCCTGTCAACTACTTGGGAGGAGACCCCTCCACCTGGACCCAGATCTTCTCTGGGCCTTGGCATAGGGGTGGGCATCTGGGGTGTTCATATGCTGACCATGCCCACATCAGCCGGGCAGTTGTGGGAGCTAATGTGGGCTTGGGTGTCCCTCTTTACTGTCCTCCATCCTGGACCTTTGGGCTGGATTGACCCCATCCCTCCTGATTACCTGCTTCACACCCCAGAGACCCTGGAGCCATGCTCTATTTTATTTTAGTTTAGTTTTTTGGAGACAGTCTCACTTTGTTGCCCTCCATAGACTATGCGTGATGAAGTCGCAGGTCACAGCAACCTCAAACTCTTGGACTTAAGCCATTCTCTTGACTCAATCTCTCAATTGGCTGGAACTATAGGCACCTGCCACAGCACCCGGCAGTTTTTTTTTTTTTTTTTTTGTGTAGAGACAGAGTCTTTGTCGCCCTCAGTAGAGTGCCATGGCGTCACACAGCTCATAGCAACCTCCAACTCTTGGGTTTAGGCCATTGTCTTGCCTCTGCCTCCCGAGTAGCTGGGACTACAGGCACCCACCACAACGCCTGGTTAAGCACCCAGCTGTTTTTAGAGATGAGATCTCAGTCTGGCTCAGGCTGGTCTTGAACCTGTTAGCTCAGGCAATCCACTCGTTTCAGCCTCCCTGAGTGCTGGGATTACAGACATTGAGCTACTGTGCTCTACCTAATTTTCATGACCAGCAACTCAGCTTTAGGGTACTCTTGGAGTTCCCTGAGCCAGGAGCAAGTTGAGTAGGTCAGCTGGAGTGCTAAAGATTTTATTTCAATCCACTTCCACATTGAGCACATCCTGTCATTTTATCACCTATGTCTCTGAACTTAGAGGGCAGTTCACTTTCTTTTCAGACTTTCAGTCATAACTTACTGAGGAAAATTAGAAATATTTTATCCCAAACCATATTTCTTTTACATATTTTGACATGGCCCTGTTAACAAAGGTAGGACAGTAAGGCATGAGTGGAGGACTGGGTGCGAGGGTTCTCACCTGTAATCCCAACACTCTGGCAGGCCAAGGCAGGTGGATTGCCTGAGCTCACATGTTCAAGACCAGCCTGAGCAAAAGCAAGACCCCTGTCTCTAAAACCAGCCAGCTGAGTTGTGGTGTGCATCTGTAGTTCCCAGCTACTCAGGAAGAGGATTATTTGAGCCCAAGAGTTTGACTTTGCTGTGAGATATGATGTCACAGCACTCTACTGGGTGGTGACAAAGTGAGACTCTGTCTCAAAAAAAAAAAAAGGGCGGTGCCTGTGGCTCAGTGAGTAGGGCGCTGGCCCCACATAATGAGGGTAGTTCAAACCCAGCCCCAGCCAAACTGCAACAAAAAATAGCTGGGCATTGTGGCAGGCACCTATAGTCCCAGCTACTCAGGAGGCTGAGGCAAGAGAATCACCTAAGCCCAAGAGCTGGAGGTTGCTGTGAGCGTAATGCCAGGGCACTCTACAAAGGGTGACAAAGTGACTCTCTGTCTAAAAAAAAAAAAGACATGTAGGAAGGAAGTACAGAACAGACAGTATAAACACACAGTACACTGAGTAAGAAAACACAGCGAAATAGGGTGGGTAGAAGTGTTAAGAATGTCAGCTCAGGCTCGGTGCCTATGGCTCAACCGGCTAAGGCGCCAGCCACATACACCTGAGCTGGCGGGTTTGAATCCAGCCCGGGCCCGCTAAACAACAATGACGGCTGCAACCAAAAAAAATAGCCGGGCGTTGTGGTGGGCACCTGTAGTCCCAGCTACTTGGGAGGTGGAGGCAGGAGAATCACTTGAGCCCAGGAGTTGGAGGTTGCTGTGAGCTCTGATGCCACAGTTCTCTACCCAAGGTGACAGCTCGAGGCTGTCTCAGAAAAAAAAAAAAAAGAATGTCAGCTCAAGACAGTGAGGCAAGAGCAGAGGAAATACAAAAGCCAGCAAATGCTGAGTAGGAACACACTGTAACCATAACAAGGTGAGGGTAACCACAGCCAGGTCCAGAAACAGGAGGAACAACAGGGGCATTACACGTCACAGCCTGCTCCCCCTACCCAGGCCCAACCATAAAAGGCAGGAAACTCCCCACAATAGGAAGGAAAGAAGAGAAAACGTGGAGGAGGGGCGAGGTGGGAGGGGAAGGGAGGCACAGAGACTGCCCACTGGATAGGTGCCAGCTCATGCCCCCTCTGGAGGGTGCTATCATTTGGTAGTGGTGACACAAAAGCCCTAGGTCACAGTCTGTTGGAGACCGCTGACATGCCTGCTGTTAACCCTATTAAGAGGACACTTTGGCTTTAATAAACTTTGCTGCTTCAAAACTGTCTCTTGCTTTCATTCTTCCGTTCTGAGAAGACAGATGAGACCGAGGAGTTCAACAGCCAGTGACAGTGGTCACAGAAATCAGGCTGCAAAGCTGCTTATGGGGAAACATACATCTATATAGTCTCACTAATGCATGCTTGTCTTTCTACCCCACCTAGGAAAAACCACCTGAGATTGTGATGCCTTTAAAGGCCAGAAACAGGCCAGATCCCGTGGCTCACACCTGTAATCCCAGCACTCAGGGAGGCTGAGGTGGGTGGATCCTTTGAGATTAGGGGTTAAAGCAAGAACGAGATCTCGTCTCTACTAAAAGAAGAAAACCTAGCCGGGCGTTGTGGCAGCTGCCTGTAGTCCCAGCTACTTGGGAGGCTGAGGCAAGAGACCTAAGCCCAAGAGCTGGAGGTTGCTGTGAGCTGTGATGCTACAGCCCTCTACTGAGGGCGACAAAGTGACTGTCTCAAAAAAACAAAAACACTGCACCTCACCCAGGAGCCTAGTTTTCATTTAGAAGGCTCTCATATATATGCACTGAAATAAAAGTTTTGTTTCTTCTCCCAATCAATCTGTCTCTCTCTCTCTTTTTTTTTTTGAGATGGAGCCTCAAGCTATCCTCCTGGGTAGAGTGCCATGGCATCACAGCTCACAGCAACCTCCTGGGCTCAAGCGAGTCTCCTGCCTCAGCCTCCTAAGTAGCTGGGACTACAGGCGCCCGCCACAACGCCTGGCCATTTTTTTTTTTTTTTTGGTTGCAGCCATCATTGTTGTTTGGCGGGCTGGGGATTCGAACCCGCCACCTTAGGTGTATGTGGCTGGCGCCTTAGCCGCTTGAGCCACATGCACCGAGCCCAGTCTGTCTCTTGTCAGTGATTTTTTTCAAAGTTTTTTTGTTGTTGCAGTTTTTGGCTGGGGCTGGGTTTGAACCTGCCAACTCCAGTATATGGGGCCGATGCCCTACTCCTTGAGCCACAGGTGCTGCCCTCTTTCAATGTATCTTTATGGGGCCCAGGACCTTAGTTCTGCGACAGACACACAAAAACAGGCAGATCTCAGCCATGAGGGTTTGAAAATGGATGCCCTGCACAGCAACCCTCCCTCCTGGCCTTCCCTTCCATTTCTTGTTCACCCCACCCCACGCAGCAGACGTGTCCACGCCTATAACTGCTTCCCCTCCCAGAGTGTCCCTGACATGCGCTCTGGCACCAGCCCGTGGGCATAGCAACATGCTAGTGTATGTCAACACAGGGTGACTGGTCAGCCACCCACCGGAACAGGGAACCACCTGCCTGCCCCCAGCAGGAATGCGCCATGATCTGGGGCCCATATCCTGGGGAGGAGCATTTGGGCCTTATCCCAGGAAGCTGCAGTCCCATCTTTGCCTTTAGAAGAGGACCGCCGTTCAGTGGCTGCAGGCCTGGGGGCACTGTCGCTTCCACAGGGACAAAAGTTTAGGACCAGGAGTGTGTGGGCTGTGCTCAGTGCTGTTGCACACTGGGCTGACCTTGTCTTGCCCGACCCAGGCCAGGAGTAAATGCAGGCTGGGCAGTCTGCCCCTTTCCTCACTGACTGCCTCTAGGCCCCATTCCCTGCTCATAGTGGGAAGAGAATTTTCCCTCCCCAGTGCTGTTCCCAGGAGACTTCTGGTGGGACCTCTCTCACCTCTCCTAGGCTCAGCTCTCTTGGCAGCCCCTCTCATCTCTGCCAGTCCCACACACCCACCCAAAGCCAGTCCTAGGCACTAGAAAAGGGTACAGTTGGAATCCCCAGCATGACACATGGTCAGCTTGCCCCTCCAGCTCTAGGCCCTTCCACTTTTAGGCCCCCTCCAGTCCTAGTCCCTATCAGCACCAGCCTCCCTTCTTCATCTGACTTACCTATGTGGGACGCTGAGTGGGGTGTGTGTCTTGCAGTTTCCCACATGGGAAACCCTGGAGTTGTGGTGCTGGAGGGTGAGAGCCACAGGGGGTGGAGTAACATAGGGCAGGTGATCCTATGTAGAATTGGGAGACCCTGCAAAGCTCCAGGCTTAATGGGGGAGGGAGATAGGAACCCTGGGGGCCAGGATCCCTTAAAGGATAAGGCATACGTGGGAAGGAGCCTTTCCGTTGGTACTGGGAAGCTCCTTTACCCAGGAGGCCCCAGCCAGCATGGCTTGGATTCAAGAAATTGATCCTTCAGAATCCAAATGTTCAATCCAACTAAGCTGAGAGGTCACCAGGTCTAACTGGCTTCTGCAAACAGCCACAGTTAGAGCCCTGCTGGGTAAGGCCAAGAGGTGCAGGGAGGATGCTCAGGTAATTGCAGGGGCTCAGGCTCCTTCAGCCACTCCCCTGGACACAAAGGTCCACTCCCAGTCCTTTACACTAGGCTTGAGCTGCACATGCCCCCAGCATGTCAGGCAGGGTCATCCTGGGCCTGAAGGTGTTCTGGACACTGTGTGCCCTTGGGTCAGGACCCAGGCCTCTGGATGGAAGAGATCCACACCAACGGCCTGGTCCAGTTGCTATGTCCAGCAGGAGGCCAGAAGCCAGCAACGTAAGGACGTGCCCTGGTCCCCATAGAGTTGCCCGGAGATGGGGCAGAGTTCTAGGGGGCTGACATGTGGCTGACCTCTCAGCAATGCCTCCCAGTGAAGTCACAGCACCCTCAGGAGTGTGTGCACTTTATTGAAGCCCTTTGTGGATAGGTGTGTGAGTATAAACAGCTGCATGAAGGGTGGGGTCCAGGGAGGGCTGGCACAGAGCAGAGAGCATGGGGTGATGGGCAGTCACTGGCAGCCTTGACAGGGATTCCACTCTATCCACGCGACTGGATGACGATCACCGGGATGATGATGAGCATAATAGTCCCAAGGAGGCTGAGGACCAGGGCCCAGATGTTCAGGCACTTGGCAGTGGAGGCATAGGTCTTGGCCCCAGCCAGGTCGCCCACCATCTTCCTGTCCCTAGACTGGGGGGATGAGATGATGAGAGGCCCAGAATCTGGCACTGGCCCCCGGGGTCCTCCCTGCCCTTCCCTACAGACAGACCCTCAGACTCTCCAGGATCTACAGGACTCACCCTGTGCCCGTTGTGGGCCCAGTGAAGGCTGCCCCCAACACCTGACCTCACAGCCCTGGGCATGCTCTCGTGCTTCTGAGAGCCTGGGCTGCCCACTCTGGGTGTGAGGCTGCGATTTCTGGCATTGGGTTGCAGGGGACAGGGACTCACCCTTCCCAACTCTGCACTATGAAGACACCCCAGGCTTTACGAACAGACACATGCACACACAGGGACCTGTCATATACACAACATGCAGACCGGGGCACACTCAGGGAGAGATGCACACACCACACACACAGACCATACACACAACATGCACATGAGGGCACACTCAGGTAGGGACACACACACTACACACACAGACCATACACACATGTAGACTGGGACACACACAGGCAGAGACCACACACACAGACCATACACACAACACGCAGATAAGGGCACACTCAAGGAGAGATGCACATATCACACACACAGACCATATACACAACATGCAGATAAGGGCACACTCAGGGAGAGACGCACACACACCACACACACACAGACCATACACACAACATGCAGACCGGGGCTCACACAGGGAGAGACGCACACACCACACACACAGACCATACACACAACATGAAGACTGGGGCACATTCAGGGAGAGACACACACACCAAATACACAGAGACTCCAGAGTCCTCCCACTCTAGGTAGCACGTGCCCTGTTCTGAGAATGGCGCCCTCGTGCCCACACGTACCTTCACGGAGTAGGCGAACGCTATGAAGCCCAGGCAGAAGCAGTTCATGAAGAGCGTGTTGAACAGGGACCAGACGACGTGGTCGGGCACAGCGGTCTCACCATGGATGTGGATCACGGTGGGAGCAGGGTTGGGGGGCGAACCCAGCACGGCCACTTCGTGCTCTTCCTTGAGCTGCTCATAGTTCGGGGGGAGCCCTGTGTGGGTTCGAGTGAAGACACTTTGGGAAGAGTGGTTCATGGTGCCGAGAGGAGGCTGCAGTGGTCTGAGGCCAGGTATTGCTCGTGACCCTCCCTTTTCCTCTGGTGGTTTCGATTTCTTGGTTTCCTTTTCCTGGCATTTAGCAAATTGTAAATTGGCTGGGGACTGAGGAGGCGGGGATACATTCCTGAGGATCACATTACTTTAGGGATGTGGGGAGGAAGGCCTGAGGGCTGGGGTGGGGGGCACTTCCTGTGCAGGAATGGTATCAGAAGATTTCTAGGTGGCCTCTGATACTAAGACCTGGCAGCTCTTGCCTTAGGTGGCGTGTTGGTGCAGCTGTGACCTGCATATTGCCTGAGTCTGTAAGTTTCACAACTAAGTTTCCAATTATCCTGATCAGAAGCGCAAGCAGGGAAAGTTCCAACTGGGTGGAAAAAGAGGGTGTTGCCCTGATTCCCAGAAAACACTGCCCCTGTCCTGAACATTCCTCCCCTTATTTAGCCTATGACTAAGCCATTGCTTAAATAAAAGACAACCGCAACCAGGAGGCCCGTTCTCTTCTTCAGGGTGAGCTTGACTCTGCTCTGTTTGTGGAATACACTTTGCATAGTTTCTGAATTTTTTTTTTTTGCAGTTTTTGGCCAGAGCTGGGTTTGAACCTGCCACCTCTGGCATGTGGGGCCTGCGCCCTACTCCTTTGAGCCACAGGCACTGCCCCAAGTTTTTTTTTTTCTTTTTTTTGCATCTCTGGGTGGTCTTGAACCTATAGTTTCTGAATTAATCTCCCTTTCACTTTATACTGTTGGCTGGCTTCTGGGTGAAGGAGATTTCTTGGGTAACTTGTACCTGAAGAGGTTCCCAGCTTTAGAAGTCACTTTTCTAGGGTGGTGCTTGTGGCTCAAAGGAGTAGGGTGCTGACCCCATATGCTGGAGGTAGCAGGTTCAAACCCAGCCCTAGCCAAAAAAGAAAAAAAAAAAAAAGAAGTAGTCACTTTTCTGGGTCAGTCTGTCCTCAAACTTGGGCTTAATCAACATCTATTAATTGCTACTCTTCTCTTAGTCACTTATTTTTGGGGTTATCAAAGTGATGCAGGAAAGGAGGTTTAGGAACATACTTAAGGAACACACAAGGAGATTTCTCTATTGCATACAACACAGAAAATCACTTACTGGGATAAGGATTGTCAAGGAGGGAAGGGCAACTGCAGAAAACCAGTTACCTGGGAGAAGGAGGCTCAGCTGCCTCAAATCCACCTCCCTGACCAATGGGGTGATGAATAATGCATGAGAGGAGTGAGGATTGTCAGGAAATCAGAAAAGTGGCTACAAGATGGAGTGTGAGACGCTAAGCTGAAGCAGTATAGCTGACCTCGTCTTCTCAGCCTATATCCCTTTTCCCCATCCCTTCTGTGACTATCTAGTTAAGGTGATTATTTGGGGGAGATAGTAACACTGACAATAGGGTAGTTATGTTGTCAGAGTAAAGGCTAGTTTTATGTTGTTTTCTTTGATGATTCTTTTAGATAAAGTTAAAATTCTAGGTTTGGGCTTGGCGCCTGTGGCTCAAGCAGCTAAGGCGCCAGCCATATACACCTGAGCTGGCGGGTTCAAATCCAGCCCAGCCTGCCAAACGATAATGATGGCTGCAACCAAAAAATAGCTGGGTGTTGTGGCAGGCGCCTGTAGTCCCAGCTACTTGGGAGGCAGAGGCAGGAGAATTGCTTGAGCCCAGGAGTTGGAGGTTGCTGTGAGCTGTGATG